GGGAGAGCAGTGAGTGCTCTTAACCACTGAGCCACCTCTCCAGCACCTAGAACCATTTTCTATAGACAACTGTCTTCCCACTTCATTTCCATTATTTCATTATTTTGTCTCATTTATTTGTTTTGTTGTTGTTGTTTTGTTTTCTGAGACAGGGTCTCATTATATTGCCTTGGCTGATCTAAAACTTACTATGAAGACCAGGCTGGCCTTGAACGCATACACAGCTGCCAGCCTACGCTGTTCAAGTGCTGGGATTAAAGGCATACACCACCTACTTCATGATCTTACAATCTGTGTTGTTTTCTTCAGTGCTAGAACCATGGGCCGTGTGCATGCTAAGTAACCCAACCTATATTCTAAGCCCAAATTCACATACTTTTGTAATTCAAATCTTACATAAAAAGCAGGTAAAAATAAACAAAAATCAAAATGTAATATAAACAAAGTCCCAGTAAAACATTTTCACTGGGGCTAGAGCAATGGCTCAGTGGTTGGGAGCATTAGCTGCTCCCACAGAGAACCCAGATTCCATCCCTAGCATCCACATGGTGGCTCACAACCATCTGTAAATCTAGTCCCAGGAGATCCCCCTCTTCTGGCCTCTTAGGGCACTGCATTCATAGGATAGACAGATACAGGTACAGGCAAAACACTCATACATACCAATCATAGTAACAAAACAAAAACAAAAAACTAACAACTTTCTCGTTATTCTAATTGGTGACCTTTCTTCTACAACTCTTTTTTTTTTTCTCTCATATGATTGAGCTATTAGGCCAGGGGTAGTGTCACACACCTTTAATCCCAGCACTCAGGAGGCAGAGGCAGGTGGATGAGTTTGAGGTCAGCCTGATCTATACAGCAAGTTAGAGCTACATAAGGAGACACTTTCTCAAAAAAAAAAAAAAAAAAAAAAAAAGCAATTAACTAGTCTTCCCTCATGAGTTCACTGTCTGACTCCTGTCCCACAGAAAGATTGTAATCTTCATCAGGGTGGGACTCAGCCTTCACTTTATCCAGGCGCCACCGACTGAGGAGACAGCATATGACAGCCATGTTTCAAGTGAATGTGGCAGTGCTGCTTCAGAGTCCTGAACTCAACTGCTGCACAAAGTACCTGTCTTTATTTAATTATTTTAGTTATTGATTTTTATGCATATGAGTGTTTAGCCCCTCCCCATATATATATGTGTACTTATGTGCCTGGTACCTGTAGAGGTCAGAAGAAAGCATCGGATCCCCTGGAACTAGAGTTAAGAATGGTAAGCCACCATGTGGGTGCTAAAAACCAAACTCAGGTCCTCTACAAGACCAGAAAATGCTCTGAACTGTTGAGCCATCTCTCTACCCTGTGTTTAACAATTAAATCACTACATGACACTGCTCATTACATAAAAGTCTATCAAACCAGAAACATATAACTTTCTACCCATATATTATATCTACAGCCTGAAGCAAACATTTTTAAACTTGAAAGAAAATGATTAAAATAAAACATTTCCAGAATACTCACATCACAAAGCATATGATTCAGTGACTGCCCTGAAATGGAACTAAAATTTTCCACAAAATTCCGAGGAGCAGAAAAAACACGAAGAACTTTTTCATCTGCTCCAGACACAAACTGAAACCGATCAATCATCGCCAAACATTTCAGGTCATATCCATGTATCTGAGGCCTTGCAATCTCATGCCAAGTTACCTGAGGTTGAAATTCAACAGACACAATGAAAGTGAGTGCACGCTTCAAAAACCAGCCCTGTCCAATAAGCAAAACATGGGATGCAAAATTTGCTACTTTCAAGCAGCTCCTACTGCCAGCAATCCAGTGGGTGTGCAGTCATGTCTCATTGTGGCCTCAGCCTGCATGTTACAAATGGCTGAGAAGGCTGCTCTCCTTGGGGAATTTCAAATGGAAGGAAGGCCTGGATTAAAGAGGGCGACATCTTACCTGTGATCGGTTTTTGCTCTTCCATGGAGCAAAGAGGCGAGTTGTCTGATCAGTACTAGTAGTAATGATGAATTCTCCCTCTGGATCCCACAACAGGTCTTGGACACCATCAAAATGGCCTGAAATAACAATCTCTGGAGTCCACTGTCTCTACAATGAAAATGACCATAACACATATCAAATAAACAAGGACCACTAAAAGGAGAGCTGCAAGGCTAAATATTCAAGACAAGATCATGAAAGAAGCTATTTCCTAATCAACTAAACTGTAATTAATATCCAAATATATGTTCCATCCTGTCAAACAGTAACTGTGGGGAATCTGATGTTACCTGTCTATCAACTCTTCCGTAAAACAGGTATTAAATAATGGTAACCACCATGCAAATGCATTAGGAGGATTAAATGAGTACTTGTGAAGAATGCAGACAATGACAGCGCATACTCCATGCTCACTGAACATTTATTAAATTCAATAATGAACAAAGAATATTGAGTAAAACAAGACTCAATTGAGTGTGAACCTAAAGCATTTTTAATTAGAGGGCTTAGCCAAGTATGGTGGAACACCCCTCTCAACCCAGCATGGGGAGGCAGAGATTGTCAGACTTCTACAAGTTTGAGGCCAGCCTAGTCTAGAGAGCTCCAAGACAGCCAGAGCTATATAAAGAGATCTTATCTCAAACAAACAAAACAAAAGTTAAAGGACTTACGGGTATAAAGGACAGAAAGATGAGTCACATCAAGTTGGTCTATCTACTCCGCTCATAACGGCAGCCGTGCATCAAGTAACAGCACACCACATACCTGCCCTCAGGGCCCATTTTTCAAAAAACTCAAGTGAGAGTAAAACTATGAGAGGAAAATGAAATTTAATCGTGTAACTAAGATTGTTTAAAGCCAAGTCTAATGAATATAGTCAATAATATTTTCTTGTCTTATTGAAACAGGGTCTCATATGAATCAGGCTGGCCCCAAACATACTTTATACCAGAGGCTGGAACTGAGCTCTTCATATTCCCATCTCTGCTTCCAAGCCTTGGAATTACAGGCATGAACTGACATGCTGGCTCAATAATTAAATTAAGTTATATTTTGTAAGAAAAATATGGCAAAGAAATTATGTTAATTCCCCTGTTATGCAAGTATGGGTTCAAAAGCTAAGCTCTAGTGAGTGTTTACAACAAGCGCACTGCTATAGACTGCACTCTGGGATTATCAGAACAGTCTCCTATGGTAACTCCCCACTTGCTCCCGGGCTGGAAGACGGCACAGTAGTTAAGGGTGCCTGCTGAACACTCATGGAGACTGGAGTTCAAATCTCAGTAGCCACGGAACAAGCATCCTGCAAAGGTCTGTGTAAATCCAGCTTTCAAGGGCTTTCCTGGCTTTTGGGAACATCTGAGTGTACATTCACATAAGCGTACATACATGCACTCAAAATGAATCTCTAAAAAAATAAAGACAAATCAGTCTTGAAGGGTTAAAAGGTGGCCCAACGGTTAAGTGTGTGAACTGTTCATCCAGACCACACAACTTCCATTCCCAACACCCCTGTCAGCCAGCTCCTAACCACCTACAGTTCCAATGTCTCCCACTTCTCTTCTGGCCTCCACGGGCAGCTGTGTTCACATGCACATACCCACACACAGACATAAAAATAAATCTTAAAAAATATTAATCTTGATTATGAAAAAAATGAACCTCTCTGGTGTGGGCTGCTGATAGTGAGGGAGGCCACAATGATCACTGGGTCTGAGGTGGGCAAGAACTCTGCCTTCCACTCGGTTTTGCTGTCAATCTAACACTGTTCTAAAGAACAATGTCCACTTAAAAATCAAACTCCCACCCCCATGGGTAAGTTCTCATGCACAGTGAAACTGCTCTCAGATTTCGGTGCCTCCTTCCTCACCTTGTGCTTTTCTTCTGCAAAGACCCTCAAAGACCAACTAGCTTGAGGAACTGGAGTTCACCTTAAAAAAAAATAGTTCCTAAACTAACAATGTCATAGACGTACTGGTTATTTAACCTATGGAAATAATCCTAAAGGCTAAGTCTATATGGAGGCTGGAAGACTAATTCTCCAATAAAGCAAGAAGTTAAAACCTCAGAGGAGAGTATCACAAACCAAAAGTAATGCAAAGCCATGAATCTGTACTTTATAAAGAGAGCTACTGGGCTAGTGAGATGACTCAGCAAATAAAGACACTAGCCACCAGGCCTGATGACCTAAGTTCCATGCCCAGGACCCACACAGTATAAGGAGGGAGCTGGGTCCTAGGGCGTCTTCTAATCTTTGTACTTACACACACACACACACACACAAAATGAAAATATGCACAATATATTTTAAAAAGGAAGCTATCATATACACACTCCAAATATGACAAGTCACATTTCACCCAATATTCTTATTCCTTTAATTTATTAGATTTAAAAATCACTTATCTAGTAGCATCCAGACCCTGACTTTCATCTGTACATGACTGGTGGGAGGGAGCTGGAAGGACAGACAACCTAGGGTCTCACATCAGCTAGGCCAATGTCACTGAGCCACATCCCAGACATGAATAACATTTCAGGCATCATTCAAATACTGTCACACTGTCTCACTACTACACTTTTCTTCCTAGAAAAGCCCAAACTTCTAACCCAGCATAAGTACCACAGACAATCTTTAGAAATGGAAGTGCGTGCCTACTAGGAAAGCAGAAATCAGCAAGAAGTCAATATGCTCGTACTGGGTTTACTGTACTCTGTTTCCAAAGGTGCAGTGCTCCGTGGAATGCATGGGCGATGATCATAGAGCCATTCTCACCGAACTGGCAATCATAAAACCCAAGAGTATTTCCACCTACTTCACCTACTCGGACCTATACAAGAACAGAAGAACAGTCATCAATCAACAGGCCCATTTTTCACAGTGGAAAAGGAATCTAGAGACTAAGATAAAGCTCATTTAATATACAATGTATGCAAAGAGTGAAAATTTACAGTTCTAGGATATAGATTTGGGGTATATACAGCAAATTTAAAAAGTTCCATTTTGTATTTCTTAAATATCCACATCTTACCTGTTCTAACCAAACGCCTGACTCTTCATCTGGAGCCCAGAGAATCATGGTTTTGTCCATGGAGGCAGATAGCAATCTCACCGGCTGCTGCAGAATGCCATCTGAAGAGAAAAAAAACTAATGTCTTTAGATGATCAACAAGCAGAATTCAAGATTGCCAGGACAGAAGAGAACGGCACAGAGCACTGATTAAGTCATACAAAGCCATCTATAACCCCAGCACTTAGGGAAGCCGAGGCAGGACAGTTACTTCAAACTCAAAGCCAGCCTGGGCTACACTGTGAGATCTTATCTCTAGAAACAAAAACAAAAAATATACAAAAGCCATAAGATCTACCCTTAGTACAAACAAGCTGTAATAAATTCAGATAATGGAATATCACAGAGTAATAAACGAGAGCTACGTGAACCAATACGGCTACATCTCTGAACATGTACAAACGTGTGATGCAGAAGGGTAAGTACATACTAGTAACAAGGTTTGTCAATGACAACAGTGCTGTCCGTTACTACAGAAACATGAAATTCAAATTCAGTAACATGCCTAGAGCTGACCCACACTGAACTTAGCACTGTGATCTATAGAAGAATGGAAAGAAAGCTTCAACGGGACACAGGCTCCTGAACTACAGAAAAACTACAGGTTGTCTCTCTAATGCCAATATTTAAAAATAATACATATTATTTTAAATAACGTTATTATCATTACTATTATTTTTACTATCTGTAATTATGTGTCTGTTGTGCATTTCTGTGTGGCTATGTGCAGAGGGGTCTGATTCCTTAGAACTGGGATTTACAGTTGTGAGCCACGCGACATGCGTGCTGGGGACTATCTTGGGTCCTCTGCAAGAGCAATGCTGGATCTTAGCCACTTAGTCATCTCCAGCCCCCTTTTCATTATTTTAACTATTTATTTAAAGATTAAAAAAATAATGATGTGTCTATGTGTATGAATGCTAGTGCCCTCAAAGTCCAAAGAGGGCGTCACCTGTATCTCTCCAGCACCTCTTCCTCTTATTTTTACTGATGGAAACACGGCTTCAAACTAGCAAAAATATGAGCATACAGTCTTTCTTCCTTTTTGCTTCTGTATGTACATATGCATGTGTTTGAAATAAGGGCTCACTATTCAGGATGGGCCAGCCTTGTTCTTGTAACCCTCCTGTCTCCGCCTCCTGGCTATTATAGTTACAGCTGTGTACACCATGCTCAGCTCACTCCTTCTTTTGAAATGGGGTTTTAGTTCAGCCTGGCTACAAATTCACAATCGTCCTGCCTCAGCCTCTCTAGTGCTGGGAGCACAGGCACGCACCATCACACTCAACAAAATTGTTTTTAGTTTTAAATTGAACTTGCTAGAAAATAAAAAAAATAAGCCACAGTTTTTTGGCCCTCAGCTACAATGACGGTGAACAGCAAGCCCTGGTACAGAACAGGTACAGACATTTGTGTTGAAGACAACAAAGCACATGGGTCAGCGAAACTGGAGGGGTTATAGGTGAGAAAGAAAGAAACCACCAAGCAAGGCTACATGTCATACAGTGGAGCTGAACGAAAAGAAGAAAATGATGAAGACACTGTGGCAAATGTGTACAACTTAAGAGCTGAGTGTTGATCACCTGAGCATGAAGGATTGCTGCTTCTGGGTAAGAGAACTAGGCTATACCTTGCTCAGCTTTACAGCAGCACCAGCATGAACATGGTAAACTTGTCCCTTCACAGATAGAGATTAAGGGCAAAAGAAAGAAGGGAAAAGTGCTGTTTTCCATAAGTACTCTCTCCCAATATCACCATTTCTGTACTATCAAGAGTGACGGTTCCAGTGAGGCTGGATTGAGTCAAGTTTCCTTGAACTCTGAATTACACAGGAACTTTGAACAAATATAGTTGACAGAAATACGGCCATTTCAGCACGTGCAGCAATCAGGCAGCCTGCCTGAGCACCCCTTTCAGTGGAGAAGCTGCTATCAACCTGAAAATGCCTTACATTTACTAACCTTAGCCACACTCAAAGCAACCCCCCAGTTTAGCTGGTCATCTTAAGACACCATTACATTTAATGAAGCAAGAGCTGTTTGTTGTCCTCCTACCTTTGTAAAATGAAGGCTGCCAATGAACTGCATTTACCCAGTTTTCGTGTCCAGCCAGCAAGGTTTCCAGGGTAACCGCAACTGTTGTGCTAACATCTACAACAAAAGAGACACAGGGACCCTTCCTCATGACTCTTCTAAAAAGAATATTTGTAAGATATTGTGTAATTATGTCAACAAATTAGAACAAGATGTAACAATCCAGATTCAAAAAAAAAGGAACAAAAAACCTAAACTTCATTAACCTCATCCACTAGACAAAAAAAAAAAAGCTAAAAATTAATTTCTCCTACATTTTCCTCTATCTGGCCATAAACATTAATATATTTTACTATTTGAAATATTCCGGAAAAGGCTGTTACACAGCAATTAAAAAGCAAACTCACGCATCATCCATTTTGAAACATCACATGTATAATTCTCATGTATCGGTTCAAAACTAGAGCTGTAGCGTAGCCCAGCCATGTACTGCATAGCATGTACAAAGCCCTAGGGTTTAATTTCCAGCACAAAAAAATAATTTTTTAAAAAGTAGTAGTAAAGCAAAAACAAACCTGGGGACATAAGTCTGTTGAGGGTGTGCACGTCTGGCACACCCAAAGCCCTGGCTTCCAACCCCACTTTGACATTAATAGGGCACAGCTCTCTAACAGCAACAGCATTGAGAAGGTAAGAGGAGGGTTAGAGTTAAAGAGCCCAGCCTGGGATATATGAAACCCTGTCATTCACAGACAGGCAGGCAGGCAGATAGAGAAACAGATACATCAACCTTCTTAATAATTATCAGGTTTTTTTAAAATAATTTAACATAAATGAAGAAATAAGGGAAGCTAAAATTCATAGCATAGACTATAAAAACAAATAAATGAAAATTTTTATATTTTGGCATAGCTATTTATAAGGTTGGCTATATCATTTCTTGGTTTTCCCCATACAATTTTTAGCAAAGTCACAACTTTAATAGGCTTTATAACTAAGACTAACCAGGAACAATATACCGAGTGAGTGAGGACTAATGAGGACTGACTTTGCTATTTAGGTACAAACTCAAATATACCTCCATCATATAACATTCCAATAGGATCTGTGGATGGGGAAGCCAGTCTTATCACAGCACGTAAGAAAATCTGAATTATATATGGCACTCAAACGTAGCGAAAGAATTTAGCTTGTCTCTTATAAATATACTGCAACAGGACTGCATTCACATTATTCCTTTAGGGCTTCTTATGCTATGCTTGCAACATTTCACAAATTAATTCACTGATAAACATTAAGCATAACTTTTAGCAATTAAAAAAGACCAGACTAGCCAGGCGCAATGGTGCACGCCTGTAATCCCAGCTCTTGGGGAGGCAGAGGCATGAAGATCTCTGTGAGTTCGCAGCCAGACTGGTCTACCAAGTGAGTCAAGGACAGCCAAGGTTACACAGATAAACCCTGTCTTGAAAAACCAAACAAAACCAAAACAAAAGACCAGACTAATATAGTTTATTAAAATGTTTCAAACATGAAAAATAACAGATCTCACACAAAAATAGAAAACTAACCTTCACACAGACGTGTGAAGACACAGACAAATCAAAGAGCCAGCAGTGCTATGCACTGCCACAGCAAATGCTTCACAGTTGCTTACCTCCATCTTGTAGAGTAAAAGTGTTTTCTGTCAGTCTGACACTATCATCCTCAGTTTCTGAAGATGTTGGTTTCATATATAGTCTCCATATTCGTATTAGGCAATCCTGTGAACAACTTGCTAGGAAAAGGTCTCTACCTAATTAGAAAATACATACAACATTATTTTTTTAAAACACTGTATGCAGTAAATTTAGGTGTAAGACTTTTTCATCTATGGTGTATATATTTCTAGATCCAAAAATATTAGACTGTTTTCTTACCCTTCATTTATTTGACTGGCATTCGTTTTTAATGGCAAATATACACACAATGTTAATAAATACATATATAACAAGTAGTTGCTTATAGCTAGGCCACAAAGTTCTAAAAAGAGCTCTTCAAGAACATTTATATAGAAACAACTCAAATATCAATCCTGCAAATATCAATTTATTTCATCCTTTACCACCCAATCAACAGTTAACAAAGAGTTAAGAATCCCCACTTCTGGGCCAGTGAGATTGGTTCAGTTGGCAAAGGTACTTGTCACCAAGCCTCTGTGAGTTTCATCTTGGGACTCACACAGCGGAAGGAAAACCTTCTCCCACTCCCTAGTGCTGTCTTCCATTTTCCAGATACATGTCATAGTATGTGTGCTCATTTAAAAAAACATTAAAGTCTTTTTCTTTCTGGGACATAACAACGCAACACACACATACAATAAATAAATAAATAAATGAATGAATGAATGAATGAATGAATGAATGAATGAATGAATAAAACTAAAGCAGAAAAGACCGCTTTCGTGGAAATTACATAAACTTATCCCCATCATGCTAACTCCTAGTAAAATTTCATACTGACCAAAGGTTGCCCATTCCACGCCTCTTATCCAGTCCTCATGTCCGCAGAGAGAAAGCATTTTCTGAAACTAAGGAGGCAACAGTCAGTAAATTACATGACACCTAAGTAACTAGCTGATCTAGTCTAAGAAGACACTATCTGCAAGTCTCAAGTAGTTTAAAACATTCACAGGATAAAATAGTACATGCCATGGATGTAGCACTACAAACACTGGACACCTAGACTTTGCAACTATTTTAAAATTTCTTACAGAATGAAAGGAAACAAGGGCCTAGACCTAAACCAACCCTAGTCCTGGTATTCTCTCCGTTAGCTCAGCCAAAGCATGCACACTGTGTAGAGGACAAACAAAGGGGACCACAGAGTACTTCAGCAGGTATGCTATACAGCACTTAAAAGTTTAAGGGAGGGCTGGAGAGATGGCTCAGTGGTTAAGAGCACTGGCTGCTCTTGCAGACAACCTGAGTTCAATTCCCAGCACCCACATGGCAGCTCAAAACTGTCTGTAACTCCAGTTCCAGCAGATCTGGCCCCCTCACACAAACATACATGCAGGAAAAACACCAATGCACATAAAAAATAAGAATATAAGAATAAATAAAAATCATTTTAAAAAAAGTTTAAGGGAAAACAGTAGCATGGCATCTTCCCTCCTCCACGTTTCCTGAGTTTTACTTATTACTTCTTCTGAGTAACTCTGGGCCTGGTGACCAAGGAAGTAGTTATATGGTGTTCAAAACGTTAAAGACTATCTAACAGAGAATTGTCAAAAAGATTACCCATTGGATTATTTTGGTTTGAACTACAATATTCTTAAAATGTTATTATCTAGAAGCAGTCTACATGAAGATATGTCATGAGGCAAAACAATTCTAGTCTCTTAACTGTAACATGATATGACATGTTCGTTTGATATCTCTAGGAGGCTTGCCCTTTTCTGAAGGGAAACAGAAAAAGAGTGGATGGAGGGGATGGGAGGGTGGAGGGAAGGAGGAAAAATTGTAGAATAAGGTAATAAAAATAAAGTAAGATAAAATAAAAATCACCAGTTACCTGGTCATCCTGTTGAACAAATAAGTGAATTTTGCAGTCATCATCACCACATGCTAATATTGGTACTGGGAAGGAAAACAGGCATGGCTGTGAGTACCATAGCTATCATCACTGGGTGACAAAACTGACTTCTCCCCACACCAACACAAATTAACTGACAGTGTCCAACCCGGAATAAATGGACATTCTACATGGTTCTAGTTAGCAGCTGTTGGCAAATACTGAAACAATTAGTGTGTCCAGTCTCTGAATTATGATGAAGGATAGAATAAAAGGGAGATGAAGAACAAGGAGGGGATGGAAAGAAAACATGGGATAAGTGCTTGCCATCTAAGCCTGACAACCTGGGTTCAGTCCCTGGGACCCTTATTAAAAAGCCAGATGTAGTGTTGTGCATCTGTAACCCCAGCACCTCTCACAAGGTGAGAGGTAGACAGACTCGGCAGAAAGTCTGCAGGCCACCTATCCTAGAACCCATTGCATGTGTAGAAACAAGAGGCCCTCCCTGCCTTAGAAATAAGGTGGACAGGGCTAGAGGGATGGCTCGGAGGTTAAAAGCACTTGCTGTTCTTCTAGAGGTCCTGAGTTCAATTCACAGCAACCATGTAGTGGCTCAAAACCACCTACTATAAGATCTGATGCCCTCTTCTGACATGTAAGAAAAGAGTGCACACATAATAAACAAACAAACAAACAAACAAATCTTTAAAAGAAATAGGGTGGACAGACAGAAGGACTCTCAAAAGTTGCCCCTAACCAAAACAAAATTTAAATAAGAACAAGTAAGGGGCACTTGTACAACATCAGCCAGAAGACCAACAGGAAAAACTGTTAGCCCAGCTGAGTACTGAAGAGCCTCTGAGGCTGAAGCTAGCATCAGTTGCTACCTAGAAGTCTTTATATGTGTTTGTTGACTCAAGGACTTTACATTTTGCTTAAGAATGAATTAAATGTTAAAATAAAAGAGCATATAATCAAATATATGGTAAGAACTGTAAGGTGATGGGTGGTGGTTATACACACCTATAAACCCAGCACCCAGGAGGCAAGTGAATCTCTGTGAGTTCAAGGCCAGCCTGGTTTAAAGCATGAGCGCTAAGACAGCCAAGGCTACACAAAGAAACCCTGTCTTGAAAAACCAAAACACAAACAAACAAAAAATGAACTGTGAAGTGACTGAAAGGTGTATGTTACAAAACTAACTCACTTCCCAGTCACCTTTACATAAAGGAGGCGTGAGAGGGAACCAGCTCCTGCTATAGAGGGCAGAGAGCAGGAGGCTAGAGTTTCCCTGGCCACGATGGTGGGTGGGCCTGTCCTCCAGATCAAAAAGGAGGTAAAGAGAATCACCGGCTCACACTGACTTTCCTTTCCGTGGATACAGAAGGCAGGTAATGTCAAACTCATCATGCAGGACAAGCAGAGCCGCCATCTAAAGCCCACAGAGTCAAGTACTTTTCAACTCAGCCCAGCCTTCACCTTCAAAGAACTACTTTCTCCAAATTGTATTTAGATATATCCACAATAAATTCTATAAGCAGCAAGATCAATTTGGTACATATATTAACTCAACAAAATTTCAGCTTGCAAAATTCCTAATAGCTGTCCTTAACTTCATGATCTAGACTTGGGTTGTTGAAAAAATGTAATTTCGTTATCAACATCTTGGTTATTTGTTGTTCTGTTTCTGAGACAGTCTCATGTAGCCCAGTTTGGCCTTGAACTCCTGATCCTCCTGCCTCCAACTCCCTAATGCTGAGGTTACAGATGCTTATCTCAATGCCTGGCTTATTTACTTCCTAAGAGCATTTACATACAGGGCTGGGAGTGTAGCTCAGCTGTAGAGTGCTGTTCAGCATAAGTAAGGCCATCAGCTGGATCACCAACACAAGAGAAACAAATATAACAGATACAAAGTCAAGGCCCCACACATTTCCATATGCAATTCTTTTTATAAATGGCAGGACACTCACCATTAGTACCAGGCAAAATAGACAGGCAGACAGTCAAAACAAATCCATCCCCAAAGTTCAAGGTCTGAAGGCATTTGACTGAAAAACAAAAGTCACCCAGAACAATTACCTCTGACCTTATCTAAGTAAAGAAGGTGGCTGGCATCACTAGTTCAACATGCCAGCAGAGATTAAGAGAAGTCAACCCAAAGCCTCAGTAACCTTGGGAAATTAGGTTTTTAAATTTCAACAAGATCAGAAAAAACAAAATAACTCATTTAAAAATGCTTAGGAGGAATTGCCTTAGAATTGTAACATTTTAACCTTGTTTGTAACGTTTTAAGTGTTCTCCTGTAGCTGTTACTCCTCTCACAATTTCTATCTCTTTTACCTCGGTTACAAAGCCTCCAAACTTACCTTCTGACCCCTTTTTAGACCAGAGTCGCACTGTGGAGTCTGAAGCTGCAGACGCTATCAGGGCCTGCAGCCCGCTTCCGGAAGGGTCACTCTGGTAAATAGCATGCACGGCATAAACAGGTCCTCCATGTCCTTGGAGACTGACTGCTTTTAAGACCTGAATCAGGAAGAAAGCCATATCTGTTAGGAGAACAAAGAAATTATAAAGCTGGGCATGGTGGCCCATGTCTGTAGTATCAGAACTCAGGAGGCTGAAGAGAACTCTGAGACTGAGGCCAGCCTGGACTACCAAATGGGGTTGTCTCAAAAAAGAGGTGAGGAGGCTGTAGATATAACATTATGGCTATCCATTTGTAATCCCAGCACTTGGGAGGCGGAGAGAGGAAGATCAAGGTCGTCCTCAACTACACCAGCTGAGAAGTACTTTCTCAGTGTGCTCTTCAGGCACACTGAGCACTTGTACACAATCCCTGAGATGCTCAGCCTTTCCCCTAAATCCCAATTGCTTTCATCCTTCTTTTATGCCTTTCCTAACCCCACCCCGCCTCAGTCTGGCCTCAATCTCCCCTCAGTTGAGTATCCTGCCACTAGGAGGTTAGGGTAGCACTGAGGAAAAGTCTGCCAAGTCTCTCACTTCAGGTTTAAAAACTAAGAGTTCACTTTGCCTCTCTGGATTCTTCTGGGCAGAGTGAGGTAGGCATTCTGCTCTCACTCAAATGCAGATGGCTCCAAAACCCCACCCCCACTTGGCCCTCTATTTCCTGTAGCACGGGGAAGGGAGCAGTAAATCTGGCCATCGGGCCAGCAGCTCACATGACTGCACCTGGCTCCACAGCTTCCTACTCACCTATTTCTCTCTGCAGAAGAGCTTTTCTCCCAGGGCCTTAAGAAAGAACTGATTTTTCAGTTAATCACTTTCCTGTCCAACATATTCCCAATTTATCTTGTAAGTAACCTGTCAGTGCCAAACACATTCTGCACACCCTCCCCCTTGCTGTTGTCCTATAATAAGGTAGCACTGCTGTCATAGAACTCTTGATGTACTCCTTCCTTAGCAGTCATCCCCGGCTTCCACATGCCTGCTGAAAAAGAAGCCCTCCCCCAAAAGCTGAGGATTGACTCCTGGGCCTCACACACACTAGGCAGGTGTTCTGCCACTGATCTTTATCCCAGCCCAGCCAAAACATAATTTTTGAGTCACTGTGTTGCTGTATAGCTTATACTGACCTTGAACTCATACTTCTGCCTCAGCCTGTTGAGTGCTGACAACACAGGCCGCCACATGGCCAGCCTAGGAACAAACTCCTAAAGGTAGTTCAAATATGATCTTCCTCATTCTTCTCTAGTATTTCTGCACACATGATTGTCCAGGAACATTCCCAAAACTGCCTCCTCCAAGTTCAACAGGATGCTAAGAGATTTTAAATGCGAATGGCAGGTTCATTCCTGTAATGTTTTTCTTACTTGAAATCCTTACCCATTAAATTTTTCCCAAGACAATAATCCTCCACTTTACAATCTAACTCAAAGGTTATGGGATTGTGGTTGGGTGCAGCGAGTTGGCACACCTGTGCACAGAGCACTTTGAATTTTCATTATTCAAGTCCATTCTGCCCTCAAGACAATGTCCTTGACTTAGGAGGACCCCGCCACATTTATTCTGCAGGAGAATGTTCAAAACCAGCACAATAACTGCTTCACCTTTATTAATCTTTGCCCATGTGCATCGTTATGCAGCGTATGGAAATCACCTACGACTAGAGATCTATACTCACCTGGCAGCACTGTCCATTTAATACACCAAAATGTCTGTCATTATCAAAACAGAACAGCTCACGTTGAGATCAGTCTGAATGAGGGAATTCACAAGGACAAGTGGCAGCACATGGCTATGGAAGCAAAAATTAGAAGAAGGGTACAGGGCCCCTGCCATGCAGAAGGTGAACAGTCTCAGCTTCGTGTGATGGCACACACCTGCATACAGCCCTCCAGGGGATCATGCCGTTAAGGCCAGATTAAGACATACAGTGATGCTGTCTCAGAAAATGTGCATGTGTACGCTGTTTACGTGTGTTTGTATGTGTGTCTGTGGTTTGTGTTGCTCAACTACTCCTGGACACGAGGCCTGCCCTGGAGTACACTTCATTGTAGATTTGCTCTTTCACAGCAGATATGAATGGCAAATAGCTGCCTGATTAGGAGTGGTACTTTGTTCCACTTCCCCTTCTCAGTGCTAGAATTTTGTCTTCAGATTTAAAAAAAAAAAAAAAAAACAAAACAGTAAAGTATATGGGTTACAGATAAGCAAATAAGAGAAGTTCATAGATAAGAAAAAAAAAAGCAAGAAATGAGAGCTAAAACTTGAAAAGTAAATATAGTAATTTCTTAAAATTAGAAACAGCTACTGACCTGATTATTCTCTATTTCCCAGTGAATCACATGATTGTCAGATCCTCCAGACACCAATTCAGCAGAAGGGGCTGAAAAAGTTGTACCTCAGTAAATATTTGCATTCATATCATTTCTTTCCCTAGTTCTTGTTTTTCTTTGTCTTTTTCTTTCTTTTCTGGGTATTCCAGACAGGGTTTCCTCTGTGTACTCCTAGCTGTCTTGAAACTTACTCTGTAGACCACGCTGGCCTTAAACTCACAGAGATCCACCTGCCTCCGCCTCCCGAGTGCTGGGATTAAACTCATGAGCAACCACACCAGACTCCTAGTTGTCAGTCCAGTTTTAGGAAATCTAAATTATCCTGCGACAGAGCCTTATTAGAGGATCACAGGTTACAGTGGTAACAATATTATTCGTTTTATGCAGCCTCACTTTTAAATGGAAGGTAAAATTAATACTTCACCACAAAGTTCTACGGGGTGATTCCAGCAGTCTTTGAATTCAAGTGGTGGCAATTAATATATTTATAATTGTGTTTTTCAGACACAGTAAGAGCCATCCTATTATGTAGTGGCTTTGACTGACTTGATGAAAGACTTACTCTGATTTATCAATTGACACAGGTAATGTATATATAAAAGTTTTATTTTTTTAATATCACAGATAAAAACCACAGAAAAGTCTGATCAAGTCAAGAAAATTCTGCAACTGTACATTAATCATAATAAGAATGAAAAGATATTAACTTAGGACAACGGAGAGAATTCTATTGGATTGACAGTTTACAGCAATCAGTAGGGTAATTAAAAATCCTGGAGTAGAGAATCTTAAAATGAAGGGAAATAATCCAATACAGTCAAGCAATTTTCAAAATGTGTGTTTTGCTTCACACTCTTAAAACCCTACAAAGCTTTCAATGTGGGCCACGTATATCAGTATTAGAAGTTAAAACTAAAAAATACTCTTTAATGGTTCACTTAAAAACTACAATGATGTTGGGCAAGGTAACATATGCCTTTAGCACCAGCACTCAGAAGAAAAAGGCAGGATCACTGTGGATTTGAGAACAGTATGGTGTACATAGTGAAACCTAGTCTCAAAACAACAACCAAAAACAAAAAGAAAAGAACAAACCACAATCAAGATAGCTCATTAGGAAGAATCACCTCTTATACAAACCTAGCTACCTAAGTTTGATCCCAAAACTCTCTCCAAATGCACTATGGTATGTGCCCTAATGACACTGGCAATAGTAATTTAACTACAATAATGTACAAAATATGTTGTACTGACTGGTTTTTGTGTCAACTTGACACAAAATAGAGTTATTGGAGAGGAAGGAGCCTCCACTAAAGGGATGTCCAACTGTAAGACATTTTTTTTAATTAGTGATCAATAGGGGAGTTCTCAGCCCATTGTAGGTCATGCCATCCCTGGTCTGTGGTCCTGGGTTCTATAAGAAAGCAGACTTGGGGCTGGAGAGATGGCTCAGCAGTCAGGAGCACTGAGTTTTCTTCCAAAGGTCCTGAGTTCAATTCCCAGCAACCACATGCTCATAACCATCTGTAATGAAATCTGATGCCCTCTTCTGACATGCAGGCCCATATGAAGGCAAAAATAATAAATCTTTAAAGAAAAAAAAGAGTACACTGTCTGCTCTTTCCGAGGACCAGGGTTCAATCTCCAGGGACCACATGGCACACACAGGGACCACAAGTGTAACTCCAGTTCCAGAGAATCCACCACCTTCACACAGACATGCACACAGGCAACAACATCAATGCACACGAAATAAAAATAAATGAAAAGAAAGAAAGCTGAGCAAGTCAGAGGAAGCAAGCCAGTAAGGAGCATACCTCCATGGCCTCTGCCTCAGCCCCTGCTTCTAGGATCCTGCCCTGTGAGTTCCTATCTTGACTTCCATTGGTGATAAATAGTACAGTGGAAGTAGAAGCTGAGAAAAAGCCTTTCTTCCCCAGCTTGCTTTTGGCCATGGTGTTTCACTGCAGCCATAGAAACCCTAACTCAGACATATATTAGTACAAAATTTTTATTTTACGTGTATTAACCCTAACTCAGACATATATTAGTACAAAATTTTTATTTTACGTGTATTAGTGTGAAGACGTCAGATCCCTTAGAATTGGTGTACAGACAGTTGTAAGCTTCCATGTGGGTGCTGGGAATTGAACCCACTGTCTGCCCTTTGGAAGAGCAGACAGTGCTCTTAACTGCTGAGCCATCTCTCCAGCCCCTTAATACAAATTTTTATGGGAGCTGAACAACTCTAATGTTAGAACCATAAAAAGTTATTAACAACAGAAGCACAACTTTACACGTCTACAAGGCTTTTTATATCTTAGAAAATGGCTGAAGTTTCCTGTCTGCTTGTTTAGTGTGTTACAGCATCACACATCATGTGGCTGACAGAAGACCTCACAGCCTCCACTATGCCCTGCTCACAGGTTTTCCAATCAAAAGCTATGGGCACAGGGCGCATCCATGCTTCAACTGCTGTCAAGTAAACATACCAGTCAGCCACTTCACTGGGTAGACCATTTTTCATTTTTTCCAAACCTATAACACCAGTCAAGGAAATGCTAAATTAAAAGAAACAATGAGAGAAAATTTGCTAACCATACTTTATCAAAAAACATTAGCCTTCTCAGCTTAATACTTACAGCCATCCTGTCTACGGATCCACTGCAGGCAATTGACTCGAGCTTTGTGACCATTCAGATTGGTAACAACTACCTTTTTCTTTAGGAAAAAAAAATACCAATTAGTATATTAGAGTAATGTGGCCTACAAAGGTAATGGTAAGTATGTAAAAATCAGCTACCAGTTTTTTGATGCAATATAAAGATATATATATAAAGCAGAATTCCATCAAGAATTGCCTTTCAAGTCATATACCTTTAGTTGTAGCTTAAGTCACCCATTCACTAGAGAGCTTTCCTTCCTTTCCACACACATTCCCAGAATCCTATTAATAACTGAAGATCTGAGCTCCCTGGACCTTCATCTACTTAGTTCTGCTCACCCAACCCCCTTGTCAGCAAGCTTCTTGACTCTCCAGGATAAAGAAGTAGTCCCTTCTTTGTGGGCCACAGTCCTTAGGAAAAGGCTACTAAGCTGTATTAAGTTAGGAGTTTAATCTATTAATTTTTATTTCATCTGTATTGGTGTTTTGCCTACATATATGTCTGTAAGAGTGTGTTGGATCCCCTGAAATTGGAGTATAGACAGTTGTGAGCTGCCATGTCGGTGTTTGGAATTAAACTGGGTCCTCTGGAAGAGCAGCCAGTGCTTGTAACTGCTAATGCATCTCTCTAGTCTAAGTTGATGGTTTAAAAAAAGAAAAGTCCATAGTTAATGTATATAAATTCATGGCTCCTTTTGATGAATCTGTAGTTAATGCATGGCTAGTGGTAGGTTCTTTAGCCTCAGTGACACAAGGTCATGAGGCCACAACTACTAACTCAGGCCCTTGCAAGTTCTACAGATTCCCAGTGGATCCTAATCTACCCTTGGAAAGCCTTACCTCACCCATTGCTAAAAATTTGCTCACATGACTTCTCCTTATAGCCCTTTCCATGTTTATTATCAACAGCACTGACTTCATGTGTACTTGTATGCCAAACAGAATTTCTCATGGTTGAGAAAACGAACAGGCAAATATGCATACATGAATATATTTAACAAATAAGCTCTCTAAGGTTGGAAAGCATTTCAGTGGATTTCCTTGTCTCTCCCACTACACGGAGAGTAATTACTCATTATCTTTGTAGCATCAAGACGCCTACACAGCAAGCCTAGGGAGGGGTGGTGTCTCAAAAAATGCCGAATAAATATCATCCTCAAAACTAAGATAGCACTGATTGTGTGTGTGTGTGAGAGAGAGAGAGAGAGAAAGAGAGAGAGAGATCACAGGCTGACATCAGATTGTCTTCCTCAATCTCCACCTTATTTTCTGAACCTGAGACTAGCACTTTGGCTAGACTGGGTAGCCAGTGAGCTCTGGAGTTAGACGAAGGCAGACATGCCTGGCTTTTACACAGATGCTGGGAAATCTGAATTTAGGTCCTCATGTTTGTTCAGCAAGCACTTTACCCAGTAGAAACCATCTCTCCAGCCCCACATTTCAAGTGTTCCTATTCTTTGCATTAAGTGTCCAACCGGAAAATAATTAACAAAGTATTTTTGGAGTTCAACATGATATATAAAAACATATGTTGAATGCCCCCTAACCTGCCTATCAGGTTATCATTTAAAAGTGATAAAAATGTGACAGAGGTGGACAAGCTGGCTCAAGTCTGTAGTCTCAGCACCTGGGAGGCTAAGGGAAGAGGGTGAATTTAAGGGCATCTACACAGTAGGTTTAAAGGCAAGGCAGCCTGAGCTACTAAAAAAAAAAAAAAAAAAAAAAAAGGTGATGAAAGGTAGGGGAACAAATCCACTGACCTCTGCCCAGAAGATGGGCTTCTACTGGCCTACTCAGCCATTGGCTGATAATCAATGTAAAGTTTACCTTTGGTTTGATGTGCTTCTGCTTGCCAATCAAGAATATACATGGCAATTGGTAAGACCAGGATGGAGGAAGGCATGCTAGAGGTTAAACTAATTTTTTTTCATGTAGAACTTTGTATCTGCAAAAGTTGAGGAAAATGGGATTTCAAAATAAATTTTAACAATGCAGCACTGTCAGAAATAGGCATCCAAGCTGCGTTTTAGCTTTCAGCGTTTCAACTGACACAGGACCCTTGCAACACTAACTGTACCATCCTAACGCAGCAGGGGAAAGGGTTCTTAACTCTGGTAGTATGCATTAATTACTCACTTGAAAAGTTGAATAGGAAAACTGCCAAAAAAATTATCAGTTGGCTGACTTTCAAGAAACGGGTTAAGTCCCCGCCTTATAACCGGGGACTCCCATCCTCTATTTTCCCCACAGGTCTTTTGAATACCTGTAACATTTCTTTGCGTTTCAATCTAAGCTCGTTTTAACCATACTGCGGGTAAATAAAGAATTCAGATACCATGTGTGGCTTTGACCCACGCCTTTAAATTGAAATTTAAAATTTCAAGTCTTGTAAAGGTTCTGATAAAGATGTCATCCTTGGGGATCAGAGGCCACGGTCACCCTAGATTGAAGGAGCGAGACGCAGGAGAGGACATAGTCCAGGCCCCTCGGGAGGTTCTCCGACTAGACCCCTGCAGTGTTCTGAACCGCGCACTCGGCCTGCAAGCTGAGCCCGTAGCGCGCGCACCCGAGGCTCGGAGTCCACCTAATCCCTCGTACCTGAGGGTCATAGAGAACCACGGAGCAGGACGTGCCAAAGGCCAGGAGTCCTCCGGGTCCGGAATTCCAACTCAAAGCTCCTCGAACCCGGTTCGGGCAGCAAAACACATGAGATACCTCCAGCACAGGCGCCACCATGATGCTTGGTGGTCAGTGGCCGAGACACTCCCGCGTACTTCCGCCCCAGAGCGGAACTACTCTAGCTATCCGGGGCTACTCCCCCAGACACCAGCCGGTCCGCATTTCGAAGGGGCCGGGGCGGGGCTAAGGCGCCCAGCTCCGCAGGCCACGCCTCCCGGACACGCCCCCGTCTGCCCTCCTGGTTCTTCCCCATAGCTTCAGTCTGCCTCGCGCATCTTTCTGACCGCTGCTCCGTGCGTGAGCCACGTCTGACCGCTGGACGCGGGGCGCTCTCGAAGGAGCTCGTGGTCCGGGACGGTTCCATCCGGCCAGGGTGCCCACGGCCGACCGGGCCGGGCCGCGGTCCTGGCGGTGGAGCGGAAAGGCGCGAGGAGAGGACCCGCGCCCGCCCCTCCATCGCGGTGAGCCCGTGGTGTCTGAGAACACGCGGAAAAGCGGATCGGTCTTGGCAGACTGGGCTCCGGCGCTGTACTGCGCGTGCGCCACGGTGCTAGCCGCGGGAGGCGGCGGTAATTACCGATTGTCCTGCTTGGAGGAGGCGCGGCAACCCGTGGCCGAGGGGCTGCCCGCCTCATGATTCCGCCGCTGCTCCGCGCCCTGTAAAGGCTTCTCGGAGACCCGATCCGGGTGGGTTCCTAGCTCTCTCGGACCGCCCGCGGGGAACCGAACCTGCGCGCGGGACCGGGGACACGGGGAGAGGTGAGTTCCTCACGACCGCAGCGAGATGGCAGGAAGGAGCCCCACAGGCCCGGATCCACAGAGAAGGGGGCCAAGCAGGACAAGGGATCCTGCGAGGGCCCCGCCTCGAACCCCACTCGCCCTGGACAGGTGCCCCTCCCAACTTGGGGTCCCCATATAGGTTTAGAGGTCCCAAACTAGGGACTTTCTGCGATGGTTTAACTTTTCACCCGCTTTTTAAGCTACTAACATGTTTCATTACAGGAGCCCTCACAAGCAAGCTTTGTGTGCTTTTCCGTTTTCTCCACCACCCCCTTTTTAAGGCCTCTTCTTGTGGCTTACTCGTTTCTTCCACACACGCAGGCTCGGCCTGTGAGGAGATCTGAGGACCCGTCTCTGGCGCTCAGCATCCTCCCGTGGCTCGAGGCCAGATCTGCCCCACCCATTTAGTGATTTGTCTCTCCCCTTGGGAATGATTTCTTCATGAGTCTTTTTGTCTATCTCGTGAATTCTCACGCGTGAATTCTCAAAATGTGAGGCCCAGATAATTGTTTGCAGGATTCTGGTCCTATCTGGTTGTGTGTGCCTCCATTTACCTGAACGCCTAGCATGATAATCAGCACTTGGGCAACATGGGAGTTTAACAAGCACTTCCACTCTGTATTCGTCCTTGCAAATAGATATTACCGGCTCTTCAGATGAGGTCATGAACGTGAGAACCTGCCAAGGAACAGCCTGGAAAATGGTAGTCTATTGCCTGGTGCCCCTGTATAATTCAAAATCCCTCAGTCTCTTTTGTTAGAGACATGGGTTGAACATTCATCCAAAGATCTGCCTAAACTATACTGCACTGCTTCTGCTTAACTGAATTCTGCTTTTCAAGCTTCACTTGAAAAGGAGTGAGGACAGGCCTTGAGTTCCAAACATTATCTGATGAAACTTTCTCTAGCTAATATGTAACACACAAAGAACAATGTGTGTTTTTGTGAAGCCTAATTGTTCAAAGAACTATTCTGAAGAATTGGGAAATCTGGCTGCACTGACATGAAATCAGGTCTGATTCATTGCTGAGTCTGGGTGCAGAGGTCTGTGTGTGTGTGTGTGTGTGTGTACATCAGTCTGTTTGAAGAGGCATAAAAAAATAACCAGATTCACACAACAACCACAAAAACTTGGTAAAATTATGTAGGGTGGGAATAAGGAACATAAACCCTTTTTTTTGCAAATTCAGATTGTCAGTTGAGACTGTTGTTTCTATATTTTCTGATTCTTTTGCGTATTCTATTTGTAAAGTGGTGATGGGTGGAAGTGCTTAGGTTTGACCTTGAGCTGTGGTTCTCAGCTCAGTAAGAAGCTGATGGTGTGACTGTGAGCACATGGGTCTCTTCCTCTTCCTGCTGCTTTTGCAGGGCTAGTTGTTGAATCTTTGCACATGACTGGCCCTGTAGCTGCTCCAGGTATTTTGGCATGCACGGGGAAACCCCAGGTCCCTAGTTCTCCACCTCTCTACAGTGCCTCATGCTCTCCTGCTCAGCACAAATAGTGCCGTGCGAACACTGCTGGTGTAAGTAGGCATCAGTTTTCAGCAGGAAGTTTCTTAAACTGTTCTAGAAGTGTGGTCAAGAACGTTTTTCCCTGGTCTTTTCTAGGAAGGTGCCATGGCCACAGATTTATCTGTGATCATGATCCTGACCTTTGCCCTTTGGGTCACAAATCCCCTTCATGAACTTCAATCAACAGCTGCTTTCTCTCAGACCACTGAGAAAGTTAAGTCAAATTGGGAGCCTGGCGTTAATGTTGACTTGGCGCTTAGCATGCAGCGACATCATCTGCAACAGCTTTTCTACCGCTATGGAGAGAATGATTCCTTGTCTGTTGAAGGGTTCAGAAAATTGCTTCAGAACATAGGCATAGACAAGATTAAAAGAATCCACATACACCATGACCATGAGCATCACTCTGACCATGAGCATCACTCGGACCGTGAGCATCACTCGGACCATGAGCATCACTCGGACCACGAGCATCACTCGGACCGTGAGCACCATTCCCACCACAGTCATGGTAAAAACAATCGGAAAACCTTTTGCCCAGACCATGACTCCGAAAGTTCAGGTAAAAATCCTAGAACCAGCCAAGGGAAAGGATCTCGCCCACCAGAGCGCGTGAATGGTAGAAGGAATGTCAAAGACGGTACGGGCTCAAGTGAAGTGACCTCAGCTGTGTACAATGCTGTCTCTGAAGGAACTCACTTTCTAGAGACAATAGAGACTCCGAAACCTGGGAAACGCCTCAAAGATGTAAACCCTTCTACCCCGCCCAGCATCACAGAGAAGAGCCGAGTGGGCCGGCTGAGCCGGCTTGCTAGTAGAAAAAGCAATGAGTCTGTGAGTGAGCCCAGAAAGAGCTTTATGTATTCCCGAAACACAAATGACAATATTCAGGAGGTAAGAATAATGCTGGGCAGTATTGAATGCACCTGTTAGTCCCCTCCAGGGATGAGTGTGAGGCAAAAATAAAATGGTTGTTACAAAAAGGGGAGCTTTTCTTCCTTCTCAGCAAGGCGTTGGCTCAGTGTGCAGACTGTGTTGTAAACATCCTTGAGGACTAGCTCTGCAGGAGAATAGTGCTGCATGCTGAGATTTCCTAATAAAGAGTTTATTGTAACTGTAGAAAGATGCCAAGGTTAATTGTGGGAAAAGTCCTTAGGGATGGATTGTATTAATAAGTAAGACAGTAGGGGGTGTCTCAAGAAGCAGGACTTAGAATCCATGTTTTAGGGGAAAGCACAGTTAAGGTGCTGAAAATCACAAGAGCAGCGTTTGGTCTCTCCTTGGCAGAGAGATCTAACAATGACTTGTGGAGTGATGGAAGTTGGAGCAAGCTGGATCAAGAATGTCAGATACTGAGATTCCCAGATCATGAGGCTTTTCTGGAATAGACTCCCCAATGCTACATAATTCTATTTGGCTGATCAATATCAGGCGAAAAAGTATGAGTTGCTAGTCTTTAGTGGTTAAAGTGCAGCTATTCCATTCACACCAGCATATGGCTGAAGTTTGGAGTAATTGTAGGAATGGTCATAGCCCTGGCAACACTGGGGATGAAGTTGTTCTGAGTAGCGTTGGTGACGAATTGGGAGAGTCTGAATTATCTTCGTAGAAGGTGAGAAACAGATACTATAACAATGTGGGCTTCTATAGGGGAGGGGACTAAATTGCATAGAGGAGTTTCTCTTCAAACTAAGCTTGCCATCCAATTAAACTGTTGAACGCATCTGCCTGCTAGGACAGGTTTGTTTTATTAACCAGCGTTGCCCTTTTCAAGAGTCATCTGTATAATTTAATAATCTCTCATTGCAGAGAAGCATTTGCCAGGCACTTAGAACTGAGCTGAGTTTTTGCAAGCAGTGTCATAGCAGGAGACACAACATGTCTTGGGCTTGTTTAGACCAAGTCAGAGTGCATTAGTCCCAAAACCTATTTCTCAATCTCTAATGAACCCCATTTTGAAATTAAAGCTCGTTTCCTTAATAACTTTATACAATGAGTTAACAGGCTTGTGAATCTCCACTTATCCCCAAGCTTGTTCCACAGGAGGTTTTCTCCCTTGGTGACTTGTGATGTGGTCACAGGAGAATGACATACCATCGTTGTGATATCAGATCTTCTTCAGGCTACTGGAAGCGGATTCCAAAGTGCTGAAAGCAAAGCTGATTTTAACTCTAATTAATTTTATCAACAAGGGTGATGAGTCAGACTACATTTTAGAGTCTTTTAGTGGGAATTTCTGTCTCTGATTTTTTTTTTTTTTTAACTCTGTGTCCTTCAGTGCTTCAATGCAACAAAGCTGCTCAATTCCCATGGCATGAACATCCAGGTTCTGTTGAATGCAACAGAGTTTAACTATCTCTGCCCAGCCATCATCAATCAAATTGACGGTCGGTCTTGTCTGATACATACAGCAAGTGAGAAGAAGGCGGAAATCCCTCCAAAGACCTATTCTTTACAAATAGGTAGAGTTGCCTTTGTTATATATGAACAGTTTCTAGTAGATAATACTTATATTGTACTTCTCTTTATATTTGAGACTATCTTTTTTATTGTGGCTCTATATACAACATGTTATTCTGTGCGGAATGTTCTGAATATAAATTTTAACACTTTATTTTTGCCTCCTTTAAAAAGGCGTGAGGGTGGGGATGGCACTGGAGAGATGGCTTGGTGTTTAAGAGCACTGACTTCACAAAAAAAACCTGCTTCCATTCCCAGCACACAATCATCTGTAACTCCAGTTCCAGGGAATCCAGTGCCCTCTTCTGACCTGTGAGGGCCCCTGCATG